GTGTCCAACCTGGCCTTGAACACTGCCAGGGATGGGGCAGCCACAGCTTCTCCGGGCACCCTGTGCCAGCACCTCAGCACCCTCACAGGGTATAACTTCTTACTTATATGCAACCTGAACTTGCCCTGTTTAAGTTACTTCTGCTGCCCATCCCCAACCTGGGTTCCCTTTGCTAAAAGAGGGTTCCTTGTGGTCCCCAAGGAGAGCCCAGTGGTCCCCAGCTCCCTTGCAGCAGCTGATGCCCACTGATGGATGTGTCCTTCCCATGCAGGGGATGCTCCCTTCTGTACCCCGGAGCAGTACAAGGAGTGCGCAGAGCCTGCGCTCGGTGAGTACCAAGGGATCTCCCTGGGTACGATGGGTGTCCCACGCTGGGGGGGACTTCCAGCAGCCCCTGTCCTTCCGGGTGGCAGGACTGGGGTGATCTAGAGTAGCTGATGGGTTTTGATGAAACCCATCTTTTTGGGAAGGGCTGGGTGCACCTTGGGATAAAGTTTCTCCTGGTTGTACATGGGACATGGGCTCCATCAGTGCAGAAACCCTTGGGATAATGGGTACCCCAGGATATGTTGGAGGGGAGCATCTCCGGGTCTGAGTCTGAGTCTGGGTCTGGGTTTGGGATGGGGCGACCCATTGTAGGTCTGGATTGAGGAGACTCAATCACCACATGTTCCCTGAGCATGTGCTGGTAACAGGGTGTTAGCCTCCAGCCAAAGGCATCTCTCGGAGCCGTGCAATGAAGTGGGAGAGAACTGGCCAGGAACTGGTTTCCTGCAGCTCCTTGGGCCCTCTCTGGGTAGCACAACCTTTGCTCCCACAGCTGCTGTGTGTCCCTGACTCCATGAGATATAACTCTGTGACCTTCTCCAGGTCTGCTTGCTGAAAAGGACAGCAATTACTGCATCTGCAGGACACCCTGTAACCTGACCAGGTACAACAAAGAGCTCTCCATGGTCAAGATCCCCAGCAAGACCTCGGCCAAATACCTGGAGAAGAAGTTCAACAAGTCAGAAAAATACATCTCGTGAGTGTTTGAGAACACAGATCTCCTTCGCTTTATGGGGCGCAGTGTCTGTAAAGCCCCTTTGGCTCTTTAAACCAGCCTGTGCTAAGACTAGATCTTGTCAGTGCCCCCATCACCAGAGTTATCTACTCCAGGGCGTGTTAGGGCAAAACCCTTGAAGACATGATGAATAAGTTGCTTTCTTCCCAGTTGATGTGTTTCCAGACAACTGTATGCTCCTTCCCTGGCCTTGTCTTCACGAGCTGTTTTGGCCCTCCCCCAGCCCTGGACTCAGTCTTGCCTTGTGGAGGCAGCAAGAGTTATTCCATATTAAGCATCCCGTAGACTCTTGCTGTTACCAAATTGAGATCCAGAGCTCAGATCCCGAGAGATCATTTTCCATCTTCTGCTAAGGCTGCCAGAGTCCTAATGGTGCCCTATGGTCTTGGTCTCCAGGACGACCAGGTGTCTGTGGGTTTCTGAGGACCCCAGAAAGAGAACAGTCAGGATAGATTGGGTAATAAAGCCCCAAAATCTTGTTTGTTTTCTTGTCCCAAAGCACACGAGGCCACTGGTGGCTGCTGGGCTGATGCTGTTCTCCTCTTTCTACAGAGAGAATATTCTTGTGCTGGACATATTTTTTGAGGCACTCAACTATGAGACAATTGAGCAGAAGAAAGCCTATGAAGTGGCAGCCTTACTTGGTAAGAAGAGATCAGGGGTGCAATGTGGAGTCTGTGTGAGCCTTTGGTGGAGTCCATGTGTGTTTAAGGCATGCACAGAGCGTGCACAGTATAGGTGCGTTGCCTTGAAGATCCCAGCAAGGTCCTTCCTGGCCAGGTTTCAACCCCATCTCTTCTCTTCCTTCCAACACGAAGCCATCCCAGGAATATCCCAGGGGCTACAGCTGATCCATGTGTCACCCATGAAAGGTTAACATGAGCTGCTCCATCTCTGCTTGCTGCCAAGACCCTACAGTTGGGAGCTGAGCAGGTGATGGATGCTCGCTGTGGTGCCCCCGTGCTGGAAGGGCAGTGTGTGGAGGAGGACAGCTCTTCTACCATTTATCCATCACCTCTTAGATGCTCCAAATCCATCCTCCTTTCCAGACGGGTCAGGCAGGACTCTGCATCCTTTGCCTTTGGGTGCTGGCCCACAGCTTGGTGGAGAAAGAGGAGGAGTTGTTGCATTGCTCAGCCTCAAACTGGATCAAGCTTTGTGGATGCCAGCTGCAGATTTGGGTGCTTGGGTTTTGGGGTGGAGGTGTTTAGTCAGGAGATCCAGGCACTGCAGCCCCCCTCCATGTGCCACCACAAATCCCTCCTGGGATGCAGGGAACGGTCAGCACCTTCGTTGGAAAGCTGAAGCTGGGTCATCCCGTGGGGCTGGATGCTGTGAGCCCACCCCAGGATGAGGACACCCCACGGAGCAGAGCCCCCCATGTCACCCCACAGCGGTAGCTCTGCAGAACGTCTGTGCTCTGAGCCCTTCTGCACGTCATGGGTTCCCCAGGTGTGCTGCAGTGAGGGAAAGGAGGCTGGTGATGAAGCCTCTTTAACACAAACCTCCCTGTTTGCATGACTTTGATGAACCTTGTTCCTGGGGCACTGCAAGGCCTTGGGCAGAGTCTCATCTCCCCCCAGTCCTCAGCCCCTTTTGAACCAGCCCTTTGCCCCCAGGCACCTTCTGTGCTCTTTCTTCTGTCTCTGTCTTGTGGATACCCACAGCAAAGGCCCCGCAGCCCCTCCACCCATGGGTGCCTTTGCTCTGGGGAGCATCACAGTCGAACCACGGGTGTTGTGCAGCAGGATCCATGAGATTTGTCTTCCCTGAAGCACAGCACAGCCTCTCATGTCAGCACTTCCCTTCCCAGCAGATTCCTGGAAGTCTCCTCTCCCCACGGTGCCTCCTCCACGGCCCTTCCCCAGCCCTGGGGCACTGCAGCAGCAGCAGCTTTGAGATGCAATTGAGATGGCTTCCTCAGGTGCCCCTGTGCAGCATGACAACCCCATTAGGCTGCCAGCTGATGGCCTCATTAGCAGAAAAGCTATTTGGTGGCAGGCAACATCCTTCCCGGGGTGCTTGGCATTGGCATGAGAGCTCCAAGTGTTTCTGGGGTCATTTCCCCACTCTTTGGGGCCAGCAGCGTCCAGGGCAGCTGCACTGTGGTTGCATGGGTGCCTTGAGGAGCTTCCACCCCAGCAGTAAAACCCATCCACATGTTGTTCTCTCTCATAGGTGACATTGGAGGCCAGATGGGGCTCTTTATCGGTGCTAGCATCCTCACTATACTAGAGCTCTTTGATTATATATATGAGGTAAGACCGTCCTTATTCCTCTGGCAGGGGGTGGGTTTGCCAGCTTTGATGCCAGGCTGGGGTGGCCGTAGACCAGGACTCACCATGCCCAATATGCCCATGTGGATTATTAAGTTTGATTAATGATACTATATAATTAATGTTCTACAGTAGTGCTGTATAGTCAGTCATGACTATGTAATATGTTGGGGAGATCCCTGCCTCTGGAGGGGCTCTCCATGGAGGCAGCCCCTCCATGGCATGGCATAGCCAGGTTCACGTAGCACCCTGCCTCTGCTAATGAGATTTGCTTCTTGCTTGGGCGGATGAAGCATCACCTTCATGTGGTTGTGCTGCTCCCCTCCTGAAGCTTGTCCTGCCTGGGGTGCTGGCTGGGACCTGCTGCTGCACGCTCCGGTCCTCATCCCCTTTGGGACTTCTCCCAGCAGCATATTATCATCTTCTCATTAAAACACCTTTAATCAATGCTCGAGTTCCAGTCCAGCCATCAGGCAGGAAAAGCAGCAAGTCCAGACCTTGTACCTCTGTCAGGGGGTGGAGGAACCCCCATCCCTGATATCTGCTGCCTGCAGCTCTGGAGCAAGGTGCTTTCTAGGAAGCACCAAGAGGAGCTCAAGCGTGGCTCTGTGGCTCCACAGTGGCTGAGAGCATCTGCTCCAAAGCAAAGTGCAACCCTCCAATTCCCATTAATGGGAATTAATGCAATAAGCATTCCAGAGGGGATGTTGCTTTCCAGCAGCAGAGTTATGACCCTTGTCTATTTTGAATCTCTTTTTGCCTAAGCAGGTCCCCCAGCACAGCTGAGCATCTCCAGGGGATTTGGGCTTTTCTGTGCCACGGTGCCAACCCAGGCCTTGGTGGTGCCGTTATGTCACAGCCTGCCTGTGGGCATCCCTCCTCCAGCATCTTCTGCCATTGCCCCTGCGAGTGCAGACACAGATTCCAGCTCCTCTCTGCACCCTCCTGCCACTTGGACTCTTTTTTTCACCTAAATGGGCCACAGTCCAAAATACCCCTTCCTGGAGCATCCTCCCCACAGTCACTGATTTCACTTCCCGGTCTTCATTGCAGAAGGCTTCGTGTTGGGAGTCAGGCTCATGAAAGGGGACACTGAGGCAGGGAGAGGGCCTGCAGCTGGGTGTGAGCTGCTGGGGAGCATCTAGTTTGCACCAAGACGACCCCAGGGACCCAAACACAGACACGGGTGTCATGTTTTCTAGCAGGGAAGAGTGGGTTTATGGCTTGGGATAGTTCAAGGAGGATGCAAACACCTACGGAGACAGGTGATTCTCAGCACATCCCAGACCAAGGTCCCTGGGAAAGTGCCTCCTGCTAATTCAGCTCATCTACTCCTTGCATGGTGAGTTCAGTGCAGTGCTTTGCACCCCTGCACCTAATTACACAGTATCTCAGACCCGCATAGCCCTTTCTCAGCCCATGTTGTGATGGGACCACGATCCCACGGGATACTGCAATCAGGGCTCGTTGGTGGCTCTTGCATCCATGTGTGTCAGGCCACGTGGGTGCAGTGGGTTGTTGGGCACTCACAGTCTCTGCTCCAACCTTCATGTTATTAAAGTTGGGATGCTGCCTTTTCGTTTCAAGTCACTCCCCAGCACAGCCCCCTCTGGGCAGCTCTTAGCACTTGGTGGCATTATTCTGCAATAAAATATCTTGGAAATTACAAGCATAAGGCTCACAATGGCTTTGGAGTGCAAACAAAACCTGCGCCTGGGTTTAGATCTCAGCCTGAATGCACACAGTATTCCATTAAAATCACCTATTCCTGCCTTTCTGGGGGTTCTTTCACAAGAAGACAATAAGACATCTCACAAAGCTTGGATTTTTCTGCCCTGTTTTACTCCTTTGTTTGACATCTGCTTATAAAACTTGGCAAATAGTTTGCTGGTGGTGGTTTTCTTCTCTTTTTCTTCTTCTTTTGGGGCAAAAATGGCTTAGGAGAGGAGCCTGTCCTCTTGGAGAGGCTCCCTGTGCACACCTGAGGATGCACCAGCTATGTCCTATGTGGGGCATCTTCATGGTCCCCCATGGCAGAAATGTAACCCACACCAGACAGGAAAAAAAGGGGCAAAATGTCTTAAATGATGCGTAATCCACATGGTTGAAGGGTTACATCAAGGCAGGGTTCAGGGCACCTAAAACCCATTGAGTTTTCAATCACAGCCTTTGTAAACTCTGAGATGGTCAGCAAAGGGCCACAACCATCCTTTTCATGGGAGTTAGCCAAAATCAGATGAAATATTGACCTTTGAGATGTTGTTTGCATTGTTCACTTACCTCAGTCCTCCTCTTGGTCCTGCCCCAGGCCAGAGTCATGCTCCTGGGCTTATTGGGGTCCCCATCCCCACCACACATCTCTGCATCTCATATGCCCGCATCCACCTCACTTCCTTGGGAACTCACCCCATTTTTCACATTTTTTGCTTCCTTCTTTCTTTTCCCTTTTCCTCCAGTGGAATTTTTTTGGGGAAAACACTCATTTTTCAACCTTTCTGGGATTTCCCTTGGAAATACATTCTGCAGCAGCAGCTGCCAGGGAATAACATGGCTGTGAAGGGAAACAGCACTCCCAGAGCTGACGTTTCTCAAGAGATTCCTAAATACATTTTAAAATTAGAGGTTTGAGTTGTTTTTTGACATGTGAAGAATTCCAGTTTGACCTGTGGGCTGCTTTTCTTGGAAAGATTGTCTCCTTCTCCATACCCCTGGGAGTGTTCAGAGGGTTGTGATCAGTGGAGTAGTTGGAGGCCTGTACTCAGTGGCATTCCCTAGAGATCAATACTGGGTCCAGTCTTACTCAACTTGTTTATCAATGACCTGGATGAAGGGCTGGAGTGTTCCCACAGCAAGTTTGCTGATGGTACAAAGCTGGGGGCAGTGGCTCAAGGGGGCTACAAGGATCCTGGAGAGGGACCTTCATCAGGGACTGGAGTGATAGGACAAGGGGTGATGGGTTCAAACTGAAACAGGGGAAGTTCAGGATAGGTATAAGGAAGAAGTTCTTTACTGTGAGGGTGCTGAGGCGCTGGCACAGGGTGCCCAGAGAAGCTGTGGCTGCCCCATCCCTGGCAGTGTTCAAGGCCAGGTTGGACAGAACCTTGGGCAACCTGGTCTAGTGTGAGGTGGGGTTAGAACTGGATGAGCTTAAGGTCCTTTCCAACCCAAACCATTCTCTGATTCTATGGTAGACCTCATGGCTGTAGGCTGGAGAACTGGGCAGAGAGAAACCTGATGAGGTTCAACAAGGGCAAGTGTAGGGTTCTGCACATGGGGAGGAAGGACCTCGAGTAGCAGCACGGGTTGGGGGTGACCTACTAGAGAGCAGTTCAGCTGAGAAGGGCCTGGGGGTGGTGGTGGATGGTAGGTTGACTGTGAGCAGGCGGTGTGCCCATGGGGCCAGGAGGAGCAAGAGTACCCTGGGGAGCATCAGGAGTGTGGCAGCAGGTCAGGAGAGGTGATGCCTCCCCCTCTGCTTGACCCTGGTGAGGCCACATCTGGAGCACTGTGTCCAGTGCTGAGCTCCTCAGGACAACAAAAGCCAAGAGGGTCCAGCGGAGGCCACAAGGGTTCTCAGGGGTCTGGAGCATCTTATGAGGAGACATTGCGGGACCTGGGAGTGGTTGGAGAAGAGCAGACTGAGAGGGGATCCCATCAGTGCAGATCAGTGTCTCAAAGAGGTGCCAGACTCTTCATGGTGCCCGCGAC